CCTTTTGTTGTTTCCACATTGGCTTCACTTCTGGCAGGCAGAGTTAGCCCTTCGGCTGTACTGCATATACAGTAAGGTGTACTTCAACATCAGATCCAAGTTATGCCCCGGATGCCTCTTCCTGATGTGAGGTATTTACACATTCACATTCTCTGAGGGCAATTTTCAGTTTTGTCCTTTTGTCAATTTTTAGTTTATTCTCTTCTTTGGTAATGAAACCAGAGGTGTCTCATCTGAACTGCTCTAAAAATGTTGTTTTAAATCTCAGGATGACTAATTTTTCTATTTCTTGTAAATCAGATGAAAATGTCTAATTTGGAAAATTACAAGGAACTCAGTGAGCTTAATGTTTATTATTGTTTTTTAGTTTCCCTTTAAATTAATTTCTTAAGTATTTTATGCCATTTAGAAAGCAATTTCTTAAAGAGACAACATATAGTTTTTAACCATTAATCTCTGGAAATATTCATCAAAATGTTGTTGAAAATGAATTAAACAATGCCCAGTTGTTGAAAAATATTGGCAGCTATATAACATATAACCATAAAAATCAGGTCTAAAATACAAGTCTCTGGGCAACGCCATATTAGATGCCATGTTTCCTTCTACGGGAGCCTATGAGGACAAAATGCATTTACTGATTTGTAACAATTGATTACAAAACTTTCACTATTCATAAATGTTGTTGTTTTACACATTTACCTCTTCACTTGTTGCCAGTGATGAAAGGTCTGATGTTCTTGTCATTTTGCTGAGGTTTGCACTCTCCAAGGCTTTTTGAGCCTTATAGGAATCTGTTGGTAAGGTCTTACTCTAACACAAAAATACTACTTTCTTACAATGATTTAGGTATCTACTGCCCCCATTACCAGGAAAAATACACACCGTCACTTTAATATTCAGTCCATCAAACGTAAAACATTTTATTGATCCAATGGATTCTGAAATTCAATAAAGTGTAGGAATAGCATACGTATGTATTTTGGGTGCTTTCAAAGCTCCATACTACACTACATTTGACCAATAAGATATGAATTTCTATATAAATATGGAAATCCAACCTGATTGATCTTTGAATGTTTAACCAGAAGATTTAGAATTCTTTGTTTATTCAGGGATCGTTAGACACTATGTATTAATTCAGAGAGAGTCAAGTTTATTAAAAGTAAGACATTTATTTTCTAAACAATTAAAAACATGACAGCTAGGAAACACTTTATGTGATGAATGAATCTAAGTGGATGGAATGTGAGGTGTGATGATGTGTGAATGTGATGTTATCAGAGCCTTCGTATCTGAAGAAACTGAGGCCCTGTCCACATGTAGCCAGGGATCTGCCAAAACGTAGATATTTTTCTACGTTTTGGCCTGTCATCCACACGAAAAAGGATCTTTTTAAAAACTCCGGCCAAAGTGAAGAGCTGCGTTTTCTCCGTTTTGGGTGTCTGCGTGTGGACAGACAAAACCGGAGTTGTAAGGTCCGCAACGTCACTTTCCGCGACAAAAAATGCTGACATCACGTGTGCGACCTGTGTTTACACTAGCCGACAGCATGGATGCCCTCAGAGCTGCGCTCGCTTTATCAATTGTCCAAGCGCTTTTTGCTTGTTTGTTTTTTCAAGCGGAATTACTGCTCCTTGCGGAAGACCACAGACGAAGGACGAGGTTAAGAACGGGGGAAGTACTGCCGCCAAAAGGTCTGGCATGTCCTTAACAACGTATTTATCCGGGTACGTGTGGACAGAGTTTTTTTTTTAAACAAGGTGGTGTGGATGCAAGTTTTTGGAGGGGCGGATATTCGTTTTTTTAAAAACCCGGCTACGTGTGGACTTGGCCTGAGTTCTGAGTGGGAGTGAATTTGGTCTGCTATAAACTATGGTGATGGTTTATAAAACCAAATCAGACGCAATCTGTTGAGTCTACGTACCCTTCGAAGACCCCCGTGGTAGATCCGGAGTGTCAGGAAGTCCGTTGACCCCAAAGGTACCGAAGTCCGTAGAAGAATCCGCAGTGCCACTAGACCGGTCTCGAGATGTCTCCAGGTCACGACAGGTAGTTATTTGCGTCTATGCAGGAGTCATAAGGAGTCGAAGTTGGTTCAGCTTTATTCTGAAGGAACCGTTTGCGGTCAGCTGTAGCGTGCAACAGTTTTGACAGCTTGTCAAAGATGCGATGGGAGCAGAGCTTCCCTCCAATGGCCAGTCAGAGTTCGGTTCAACTGAATCCCTCAGGAAGTGATGTTGTTTAAATAATGTTCATATTTTGATTTACTGATTAATCAGAACTTGCCCTGTAAAGGGGTTTTGCCAACAAACTCAGATACACACCTCCCTCAGATATGAAGATGCTGATTTTGTGGATAAGAAAATATCTATGTGCAGTGACGTTAATTATAACTTGTGTCATGGAGATATGGTGAGTGTGTCTTGTCCAGTCAGTGCGCTGATTAAATATATGGGTCATATTTAATTTCATCCTTGTTAATCTTTCAATGTAATAATAATATTCATTTCAACTTCAGTAATTTAAGCACAGATTAATCAAAACATTTCATTTAACCATATTGTCCATTTCAGTATATGATTATTTACTCATATTGTTCATCCATCTTTTTCTGTGAATAAAAACCAGTCTTAGATAAGAGTGAGCTTGCGAGGGACCTTGGCCAAGCAACAGTATTTTTCTTGCAGATTAAAAGCACCAGTTAAGAATTATGTCTCCAAATGGCCAGATACTGAAGAGGTCATTCTGTAGGTGGAAAACTGACCATTCCTGGAGGCTACACAAGTATGTATTCTGATCTACCGTAAATCCTCTAATATTAGCCTGTATTTAATTAACTGCCGGGTATCATATTTTGGCCGGTGTCGGAGTCGGCGGAGGTGAATAATGGCCGGTTTTTTATTGTGGCCGGGTTGAATGTGGTAACAAGCAAGTACGGGGGGCGGTTGTGTCATCCGTCTCACTTTTGATTTGCCAGTGATAGACCGCAAGGGTAACTTTAACCATGGCAGGTGCGGAGACGAAGAGGAGGCGAAAATTTGATATCAAGTTCAAAGAGAACGTGCTGATTATGCTGCAGAACACTGGGGAGCAGTAGCAGGAGTTGTATGAACTAGTCACTGGTCGACTTCACCGCTCTATAGTGACTTGTTATGCCTGTCATCGACTAGTCGCTGTCACGTGATAATGACCGGCAGGATGCAGTCCTCGGAAAAGACAGCAGCCTGCTGTCAGCAGGTGACAAGCTCCTGCGCGTCGGGAGGCAACGCGCTGTGCCAGAGCGTCGGTACTGACACCCGCCGTAAAACGGACATTTAACCAAATTGTGACGTTTACCCTTTTGCAATTTAACCTTCCCCTCACCCCCATCCTAACCTTAACCAGCTTGCACATGCAAAGCTCTGATCATTGACGCGCTCCAGACATCTGCGTCCTGAGCACGGACACAGTAACATTATCAAATCAGGTGTCGCCACCTCAAAAACTAATTTAACACGCGATCATTCATGTCGCCTCATTTCCTTTTATGTTTTCTGTCTTTTATTCTTTTATTTGTGCCTGATGCGTTTCGTTGCTGTGGATCAGGGCGCATCACCTGTTTTGTCCTCGATGACGCACCTAACTGATGTGGCCGGTGCGCACTCCGCTGTTTTTGCGGTCGGTAGATCTTTTAGAACTGCAGTTCAAAGGTAACTCATAAGGTGAATATATATGAACCCAGGTAGCAGTTTTTCTTTAGGATTGAGAGGAGATGCAGGAAGATAATAAACAGGCAGGACAGAAAAATAGTAAAATAAAAACAAGTTAGTTTTTGTACCTGGTGGTTGCAACAAACAGACACCATTGAAGGTAATCAGAAGTGAGGAACAGAAAATGAAATAATTATTTCAATGTTTAAAGCAGCAGGAACACTGAGAGGCTGCAGGCGTATCAGTGAGTTTATGGCCGCTGCGCAGGGGGAGGGGGGAGAGGGCTGAAGCAGAAACTACCGTTGTTAAAAGAAATGTGTTTAACTTTGAAAATGTGGGCGCAATTTTAATTGTCAAAAACTCCAGCGAACCATTAGTTCATTTTGCTCAAATAGAAATTGAGGCCTGCCTCTAATTCTGGCCCTCCTTCCAATAAAGGCCTGGAGCTTGATGAGCTTGAGTCAAATACAGGCCCGGGCCTGTATTAGAGGACTTACGGTATTTTTGTGCAAACAATTAGTCGAATAAGCCTCATCTCCAATGTTTCCAATATATTATTGACTGCTATATTTAGATTTTCTCCAAGTTGTTGTCTGGACAAGCAAATATTTGCATGTCACATATTTTTAGGTTTCCATTAAACTAAAACTGCCTGTTTCTTTTAGATGCAAATGTGAAGCTTTAAATATTTTAATACTATGAATCACTCTGTATTGTGCTTTATTTGTGGCTGACTGAGAAACATACTGGTATGTGATTTAGTGGAGTGTGTTTTTTTTTCCCAGATCTTAAATCCTCCTTGGAATTCCTTGTCTTTCACCAGCCGGGTTTTCCTACACGGCTAACTGGCCGCCACAGATTCTTATCAACCCGTGTGCCTCAACTCAACCCGGCTTCATAAACTGAGATCTTTGTGCAGTTTGATCTGGAATCTGAGCCTCAGTAGTTTCCTTTTTGGTTGAAAGACAAAAAAGACCCTTTATGTCAGATCAATTGGTAAAAAGAAAGTGATAAATCAGAAAGATCTGAATTATTCAGGATTACGCCAGCAAAGATTTTTCTTTTAATGCTAAATGCTTTTCCACACTACGGCTATGGTTAAATGTAAATTACATCAGAAGGTGGGGTGTAGGATTATGTCAGTTTCCTCAAACAGATGCTGCACATTTGGAGGTCAAAGGTCATGTCAAAGACTACATTAACTTGGCTCAAGCAGAAGTTACAAGAGGGAAAAAAGCAGGTGACTGGAGGAGGCATGACTGTGGGAGAGAATGCTTTTCCTTTTTTAACTTTTGTTTTCTTTTTCAGATTTCAGAAGAAGCCTCAGGGGATGAGAACATATCTATTCAAAGCGTGAGGAAACTGTCACTGAAAACAATTTGGAGCTAAATGTTTGTTGCAAAGCATATCATTGAACTTTAAATGTAAATTAAGCTAATTGTTTAGTATTTTTTTCAACTGAATTTATATGTATTAAAAGAAGTTATTGAAATGATCTTAATTTACAATTTAACAGTTCAAAGAGGTGTGTTGTGCTGAATTTATCTGTTTTATTAGGAATGTATTCTAGGAAAATCAGTGGTTAGTAAGTATTTCTGCAGCTGTCATTAATGTCCAATGTTAGCAGAGAAAGATGGAGACATGATGGTGGTTAAGTGCATCTTGTACAGTCTCACATCTGGCCACATGAAGCTCTGCACAAACGTTGAAGAAAACACTGTAAACTTTCATTTGTTTCTTTCAAAGTTTTAAAGAAACATTTTAAGTTTCCCACTTTTCCCTCCTACTGGTTGAAAGCGGAAATACAACTGTTGTGAAAAGCCCTCCAGCAGCCTGCTGTAGCTAGCGCTAATAAGCCAACGCTAACACAAGCCAACTGATATTAAAGGAGTTGTTCACAGAAAAAATATTTTTAATTATTATTTCTAACTATTATTGGTCACTGAGTTTTTTACGAAGCTAAACATGATAATAATCTTCCACCTGAGGCTAGGTGTCCAAATATAAAGAAATTAGACTCCATATCTTCTCGTCTGAAGCTCAACTCTCATGTGGCTCACTTCTATTTCCTGAAATAGGAGCACCAGGATTTTTTTTTTTGCTGAGTTTGACTTGCAAGGCATCATTCTAACTAGAGATCCCTGCGAATGTGATGATTAAACGAGTGAACCACACCTTTAAATTTACCACAAACTAAAAAGATCCACACTGTTGGACAAAAACATTATTACTTACAAGTCTAGTAGCAAAAAACCCAGGTCATGCATCATCAAACTGTGATTTAATATCCTCCTTCAGCTTCCTCAATTGAGCATAGGTTGCGCTAATGTTCACTCTGTTTTGACTCCTTGTTTCGCCTCCAAAGACATTACTCCCTTTTACTTCACTTTTACTTCCAGGCTGCACAATAATGCCGACAAAATAATGGCAAAATTCTTCTTTTATTTATTCTTGTATTATTTATTGACAATTGGCCAATGGATAAGGCTAACTGCTAGCCTTTATATGAGCCACCAACATGATAAACAGCTATTGTGGGTATAGACCTCCAACTAGTGCACCTACCCAAACCACAAAACTGTTAAATGTAGTTTCTGGTCAGTAGACGGCTGCAGGTGTCTGTCCAGTGTGAAGTTGCTTAAGTTTGGCTCAAGAATCACTGAAACCGGTTTAAAAGCAATAGCTTAGATTGGTTAAAAAACGTTTTAGTGTTGCTTTAATCAAAGTTCTCCACCTCATTCGTGATCATTTATGATATAAATTTTATAGATACCTGACTGTAAATGCTACCACTATAATTATCCCAAATAACAGACCTTCATATTTTTCACACAAAGCAAAGGAAATATTAACTTCTCCTAAATAAACTCTTATTTTTAATGAGTAGTATTTGTGAAATCAGAAACATAAAAAATGAATAGTTAAACAGTGAAGGTTGTAAAATATTAACATTATTACATTTAGAGTTGTCATATGTTTCATGTGGATGTTGTTTGGTGTTCTTTCTGTTCAGTAGTTTATAGTTGTTGTGATTTAAATGGAATTACATTTTTTGAAATAAAAGTATTCGTTACATCCTGTACTTTTTTCTACATTTCACCCACCTTAACATGTATCTATTTATTATAGTCAGTAAGTTATAGTAAGTATATTTGATCTTATCAAATTCTGATTGAATGGATTTGACACCTTATTAAATTACATTTTGTCAGACAATCTCAGTCTATATTATTCAATCCTTGATCACAAAAACAACACTGGAATATTTTCCGTGTGTGGCATGAAGTGATATAAATGAAGTTTTCCTTCATGCTGGTGAAGCTTCTCAGGCAATCAGGTCATGGTTCTCCAAAGGGGTTCATGTGAAGGCAACTGGACTTTTTTGGTTTCTTGAAGACGTTTTGCTTCTGATCCAAGAAGCGTTGTCAGTTCTGACTGGAATGTGGGAGGGTCAAGTTTATAAACTGTAGCTGTCTATTGTTGCTCAATGAGCTGAAACTACCAATGAATACCCCTCCTCCCTATCCACCGAGGAGTCATTGAAGTCGTAGGGCATATTGTTTTTCTTTAAATCTGCTATAGAAATTTTTGAAAACAAATTAGCTTAAAACTTTTGTTCATGCCTCTAAACAAAGTTCTAACATAGTATATCTATAAATATATTGTGGAGTAAAAACAAATATTCAATAAAGAGGTTTTCTTGAATTTGTCTAAAAACCTCCATTGATAACAAGTTTCAGACCCAAAGCAACTATTGGACTATCCAGTTGTCGGTCTTGCCGAACCGCCGCAATTCCACACTTCCCTCTGTCCTCCATTCATTCCGCATTTGAGTATTTAGAAACAGATCATCCTGGTTTGAGAGGTTCTCTGCTCAATAATATCAGAAAGGGAGAGCCGGCTGTTACTAATTCAACTTTAGGACAAACTACCAGAGTCCAAAAAAGAAAAACACCATTTGACAAGAAGAGACATTTGGACCTAGAAAACGGCGACTGATGTTTTCTCCAGCATCGTGGGTTTCCAGTTCTGGCATTAGCATCTCGGGGAAGATATCCAAGGGGAGGGGTGAGTGTTCTGTGATTAGGGATGGGTACCTTTGACATTTGAATCGATCCGGTACTAATTCCTGGTACCTACGAATCGATACCGGCACTTAACAGTACCAAATTTTTGATACTTTTGAGTGTTTAATATTTTTAATTCTTTTTTAAAATTAAGTATATATTTTTCTCAACATATAACCATATTTGATAAATATCACGATAAATAACATACAACTGTTTTAACATTGTCCTTGTAGTTTTATAAGCTGATAATTAAACTGAAGCAAACATCTTTACTGTGAACTAAATTTACTGTGTATCTTCATTCCTTTTACCGTCCTTTTTCAATTGATTTTTCCTACTGGGAAGTTAGAATTTCCGAGGAGAAAGCGAATGCACCATTAGATGATAACAATGGTGGCATAGGAAGCTAACATATCAAGCTAATGTTATCTTAAACAGTTTATTTAACTGCTGGAGCAGATTTAAACGATGATGCCTCACACTTAGATCGTTGTTGCTGGTTTCATCTTCACCCAATCACCCGTCGCATTTAGTAAAGTGAAGCCAAACTTTAGAGCGCGTTCATGTTCTTCCAGTTGGAATTTCGGAGTTCCGAGGAGAAAGCGAACGCGCCATTAGTGAAACGGAAGCTAACAAATCAAGCTAACGTTATGTTAAACATTTTATTTACCTACCGGAGCAGATTAAGATGAGGATGTCTCACTTAGATCGTTGTCGCTGGTTTTCATCATCATCCAGTTACCCATCACATTTAGTGAAGTGGACCCAAGCTTTAGCTTCATTTTTCAAATGAAGTGAATCGGTGCTCGGTCGGTACTGTGGAATTCGGTCGGTACCTTAAAAAGTACCGAATTCGGTACCCATCCCTATCTGTGATTGTGTGTGTTCAAAACCTAGCTTGTAAGGAAACCTAGATTTGCCACAAGTTTATGGTAACACTACACACATGGACACCAGTTCACGATTTATCACACTATAAAGTTCTCTTGATCTCCATGTTCATTTCAAATTAGTCACAGCAGGCTTAATCATAAGTTTACTGTTTAATTTTATGAGCCATATAACATCTTTATTATTTCTATCAACGACAACGACTTCCCCAGTGTTTGAAACTCATCCAGCTGCTATATACAGACTGTTTCTACGGGCTCCTGTTTAACTACGGTTGATGGTGTGGATCACCTTCCCACAGAAGGCTTTAATCCACCATCAACCACTGAGCCTGAGACACAGCCATGACGGCAGGGGCTCTTCTGAAACTTGTATGTGGGCTCCTTAAACCCAACCACAATCATTGATACCCGGCAACAAACTCCAGCAGAACACAAACCTCCTCTTCCTCGGAACTGGATCCAAAGGTTTCAGTTATCCTCTATTTATACACACTGTATATTTACAACATGCTGCTCAGTAGCGGTTTTAGGCACGGGCAGACAGGGCAGTTGCCCGGGGCGGCATTTTTTCATGACACAAAAGGGGCGCACAAGCGCGGAGTAAAAAAAAAAAAAAGGAAATCTGCGCCGCACCGAGGTTTTCTATTATCTGTCATATGACAGTGTCTGGATTGGAAACAGCAAGTTGGCGCCCCCTGCAGTTGCAGGCGCTCCTGCTGACTGAGAACGTTCACGTGCTCCGTGTGTCTATGAAGAACAGGAAGGGGAGGGGTTCGGCGGGGGAATTCACCTCTGCGTCTTTCCCAGATGAAATGAGCGTGCAGGGGCTGAATCAACTGTATTAACATGGCTAAAGTCAATCACATCTTAACGTTCTTCCATATTTCATTCATAATATCATAAACACAGGCCTATCATTCTTTCAGGTTTCTCTGAATTGTGTGAAATGGCCGAATAAAAAAAGGAAAAACAAAACGATTTTGTGGTCACCCCCCCATCAAGGTCAAATAGTTTAGTCCTGACTAAAGGAAACTTACTGAGTCAGGAGCCAAACAGAAGAGATGAACATAAAAAGGCTAAAACCACCAGGTGCCCGATTCAGGGGGAAAAAAAGAAAAAAGAGCAGAAAGATAAAGGTATGTAGCTCTCATGATGCATGTTTTCAATTTTTTGAACCAGTTAACTGGGATTTTAACTGTTAAATGCGGTCAACTAATTGCTAACAGAGCTAATAGGGCTGAAATATTTAAACGAATATTCAAATGGTTTGAAAAAAGTCCTTGAATCGTTTTTTACTGATTCAAACTAGGATTTGTTAAATGCTCGCTGCAGCCTGTGGCCCGCCTGAACAACAACAAACACATGTTGATCATGTTCACATAATAATAAATGAAACCACTCTACAAGCAGAAGAAAACACCCCAGTCACCACTAACTATCCTGTTTATTTATTGCAGATGGCTGCACTGATTATTTTTTACATGATTTGTTCTGTAAAAGTTGGCATTTTTGGTAGTCTACAGTTTTTTATGTCAGTTTAAATTACAATTTCAGAGGCAATTCTAAAATATTATGGATCATGAGATCTATTGGAGATCTACCCCAACTTTTGGACTGCTCTGCCAGTCACTGTGGCTCAAGCTGAGAGGAGCTTTTCAAAACTTGATCAAGTCATACCTGAGGTCAGCTATGTTTCAGGGGCGGCTCACTAACCTGGCTCTGATTAGTATCAATCACTCATTAGGGGAGCAGATTTCATGTGATGACATTATTGATGATGTTGCATCAAGGTTAGGTTTTAATTTTAGTTTGTGTTTTCTGTTCTAAGTGCAATGCTGTAGTGATTATCTTTAGTTTGTTATGTGTGAAATATTTTTGCTATTTAGAATATTTATTATCTATTATGTTCATATATTCTTAATATTTAGTTATTGTTTGTTTTTGTATATTTGATTCTATATATTTTGATACAGTATATAATGTATAGTGCTTTACATTCTGACAACTTCATAGTAATTAATGTAAATATGTGCAACTTAGAAAAATGAATGTTCAATAGTCGTTCTAATAAAACATGCCTGTTTGTAGAAAACATGCGTGTGTTCATGCAGGTGGGGTGGTGTGGTGGTGGTGGTGGTGGTGGTGGGGGGGGGGGTTGGGGGGGGGCGCTCAAAGGGGGCCTCGCCCGGGGAGTAATTCGATGTAGAACCGCCACTGATGCTGCTGCATGATTTGAATGCTAGAAAGTGGTGCAGAGAGTCTTCTGCCGTGAGCCTCCTATCTGAAGTCAGAACTGTTGGGGATTCTCCAACAAACACCCTATTGTAATCTCTCTTAAAATGTCAGCTATTCGCCCATTCCATTTGCACGTTCCCAAATCTGTTCATTGGAATAAGTGGTAGATCATTTTCTATGTGTCATCTTTAAATGTGGAGAAAGTGGAGCTGACAGCTAAACACCTTCTGTAGGTTTGTTTTTAACAAATGCAGATAATCAGAGTCTCTAAGATTCAACACACATCTGCACTCATCCTAATGAAGTATTTATTATGATATTTAAAGATGGAAAACATCTGTATGTCTAAATAAGTCAAGTGGTAATGTGAGGTGGTTTTCTAACCTTTGACCTTTAAGACGGCAGCAGAAAAGATCCTCTGAACAGAGATGGGTATTGTTCTATGAACAAATCCCATAGCAGCAATTTAAAGATGCTTTCAAAACATTTTTAAAGGGGTATATTATGCAAGACTCAGCTTCTGCATCCTTTTATGCTGCCATGTGTCTCAACAGCCTCTATAAATACTCTAAATGGGAAAAAAGTATATGGTATAAAGTATGTAGTATATATATAGTATATAGTATAAAGTTTATATATATATACATATATATATATATATATATATATATATATATATATATATATATATATATATATATATATATAACAACAACAATAAGATGAAGAAGAAGAAGCACAAACTAGGCTTAAGCCACGCCCATGGTAAAATAGTAAATAGCCTGTATTTGATATAGCGCCTTCTAGAGTCATGGAACCCCTCAAGGCACTTTACAACACAATCAGTCATTCACTCATTCACACACACATTCACACACTGATGGTGATGAGCTACGATGTAGCCACAGCTGCCCTGGGGCGCACAGACAGAGGCGAGGCTGCCGAGCACTGGCGACACCAGTCCCTCCGACCACCACCAGCAGGCAACGTTGGTTAAGTGTCTTGCCCAAGGACACAACGACAGTGACAGACTGAGCGGGACTCGAACCTGCAGCCTTCGGATTACAGGGCGAGCACTCCCATCTCCTTACGGACCATGGGTCAAGAACAAAAAAATGAATGCAAGTCAATGGGATTAAAAACGCTGTTTTCGAATTCCGTTTATGTATATATATATATATATATATATATATATATATATATATACATACATTTATATAGCAACACATATATAATAAAGGAGTGGTTTATTTGTTTAATCAATACATTTGCAGTGGGCTCTAGTAGGAGTGACTGCCTTACAGGCTGTACTCAGGACACAAAACAGCTCACAAACTCCTGGCCCAGCAATCGGGAGCCTAAAGCCTAGTTTATGCTTCTGCGTATGCGTCGGTGCAGAAACAGGCAAAGCCATCACCCACCACTGCGAGGCCTCACCAGCAGTCTCACAATGACGGACACAGTTGAGCCCACATTTCTAAACATTCGTAGACTGAGACAGAAAACACAAGCTTGTGATTGGTCGGGAGGGCGCCACTTTCATCAACAGCGCTGCCATTGCTCCCCAAAAAACCTAAAGATAGCGATAATATCTAGCGACAGACAGGGAGAAGCTTGAAGAATACCTTGTGGAATAACTCTAAAAATATTAAAGTTTTATTCACCTGTGACTGAGGGAGACCAAAGATACAAAGATATGCAGCAAGTGTTTTATTCGTGGATGGAAATGATGGGGAACGTGGATTTAGAGGAGGTGAGGGCAAGAAGAGGTGGAGGAGAAAGAGGGACAAATTTGTCTGTGTTACCTCGGAAATACAAAAAACACAATATAAACACAATATTAAATGCACTATCTTGGACCGGATACCTGACAGGATACCCACGAACAGCGCTACGCCCTTTTTTTTCCTGGTGGAGCACACTCCCCAGGAGACGCAGAAGTGTGAGAGCAAAACGTCTCTGTCGGTGTACGTCTCTCTGTTGAGGAGCTGACGCAGAAGCACAAACTAGGCTTATGCCACGCCCATCTACTTATGGACCATGGGTCAAGAACAAAAAAATGAATGCAAGTCAATGGGACTAAAAAAGCTGTTTTCGAATTCCGTTTGTAATGTGCTGCGGGTGTCCCACATGGTCCATAAATTTTAAAGATGGATTATGATGCCAAGAATGCACTTATTTTCGAACGGGGGAAACGCTATTTTAGATTTTGTGTGAAAATAAGTCCAGGACTACAAAAATGCATCACCAAAGGGATGTAATCAAACCAGACAGAGAAAATCAAAGGAAAAATGGCTGTAAGTTCAGCAAGTTTCAAATCCTTACTTCAGAAAACAACCATCATAAACCTGGCCGAGGTGGAGAGGAGACGAGAACAGCACTGGGTATCAACGTGGCACGGTAGGAGGAGTCCCTGACTGTAGCAGCTTAGATGAAACTATGACTGAGTGTTTTTCCAGATATTTAGACATTTTGTCTTGGATTGAATAAAAGCAAAGTGACTCTACCACTAACTCCATTTGCACGGGGATATGGATGTTTCATCTCCACAAATAACAAGCTTGGAGGAGATTCTGCTGTGAGAGTGACTTTCTAATGCTAGCGGTTAGCTTCTGTTGAAAGAGACGTTCTCTGCTGTTTCTGGACACTAAAACAACAGCAGCCCTCCATGTTGTGAGTCACTATGTGTAAGCCCAATTCACAGTGTGAAGTAGATTTGTGAGGCTTTTCAACTACTAGAGTTTCACCATCTTTTTACTATCAGAAGCTAATGCAGGAGATAGGTGTAGGAGACTATTTTCGTGTTCAGCCTGCATTTAAAATAATCATTAAAAATTGCTTTTCCAGTGAACCACATCTTTAAATTATTTTTTTCCCACACAGAACGCCAACACAATTGTGCTAAAATATTTGCTAATCAAAAGATAAAATATTGTGCTGAGAGGAATTAAAGCACGATATGTTCTTAGTCTACATGGCTTCTGAGTATAAACAGGATGGGATTCAGTCGGGCTTTGTGATGCATCTATCAAGAGGTTGTTAGTGCCAGCTGTCATCATGAGGATGAAGAGTTGATCCTGAGCGGCAAAGCCTGGCCTCCAACCAGCTCCTCTCTCTGTTTACCTTGGACGCTCATTAAAGCCTTGTCATTTCTTTCATCTCTAAATTGGAGCAAAGAAAAGTTAATGGCTCAATTAATGCTAAGCTCACACTCAACAACAGTCACGTTTAGTAGGTGGCCTCCATTAGTTTGGGACTTTCTTTTTTTAACCTCCTGATTTAGCCTGCACATCTTCATTTCCTTCACAAAATGAGAAAGTGGAATGCATAAGAGTATAAAAAAACTGTTTGTTTCCATAGTCACCATTTGATGTGTGCGCCACTTTTATTTTAGGGGTGGACAAGTGAGAAGGGGGGAGATTTATTTAGAGGATGCAGTGAAATGTGTGATACAGAATGCCTGAATGCATTCGGCATCTCTGCTATGTTGCCACACACACACACACACACACACACACACACACACACACACACACACACACAAAGGTTGCTGAGTCTTTTTGAGTTCATAAATTACCCCACTACTCATCTATATAGTTTTATAGATATCTTCAAAAGATTATAGCTTCAAATGAAATTAAAAGTGCATAAAATAAACGAACGCCAGCATTATTAAGCTTGACGATTGAAGCATGAAAATGTCTGAACGAGTCTTAGTTTGAGTATCAGACTCAACTGAAATGATCATCCATAAAAGGTTACCAAGTATTTTTATCTTAACAAGACCTTGTGCAAGATACTGAGTACATGTTCTCACGTTCTCACTGTGATGACTGACTGATTTATCCTTGCTCTACTTAACATTACTGCTGAAAAACTCAACATAACACTGTGAAATGCATCTATCCTCGTCTATCAAGTTGAAGTGATATGTTTCCATAAGTTTAGTTTTTGTTTTCTTGGTGATGTTGTCATGGATTAACAGGATTTTGTTGTTTAGTTTCTTGTATTGAATATGTGTACATCAACTTCCCGAGTAATAGTACTCCTGGTTGTCTCTTAGGCAGTGGTGCCCCTAGACATTTTTTAATTGGGGGGGGTCAGGTGAAAGTTTTGGGGTGGCACACCAAATTGGTAACTCTGAGAGAGTTTATTCTTTAGCTGTGCATTGCATCACCCCTTTATTCTTTGACATTAAAAACCTAAATGTATCCAACACATTTACCTTAAATTTGAAAAACGTAAAAATTACAAAGAAAATCGGTTATTTCAACCATTTTTATTCAAACATTTACTGCTTTAGAATTTCAGAATAGTTCAATTCAGCTGTTACTGTTTTAACAAAAGCCTCCATAAAAACTATTGATATTTATAATTATTTTTGAAAATGGTGAGCAGTAACAGCAACATTTATATACATTTTAAATTATGATTTATTTATTTATTTACTCATTTATTATTTTAACAGGTCTAGATTTATGTTGTTTGTAAAAAAAAATGAATGTTTGGTTTGAGTGAAATTTCTTAAAATTAGAGCAATTGGGGTGGGGATGGGGTGGGTGACTGGGCCATCTCTGACCACCCACTGGGGGCACCACTGCTCTTTGGATTGTTTCACAGAATAAGCTGAGACTTGGAAAAGTATGAACAGCACATGCAAATTCATGAGGGCTGTATCTCTTTTAGAAGAATTTGCAGTTTTGCAAAATAACCAGCATAGCTGCAGGAGTGGAACACAGCCTTCAGTGGTACGTGCTTTCATTAGTCAAAATTTCAGCCACAAAAAAGGCCTTAACAGTTACCCTGCTTCGTGGCTCAGCAGGCGGTTCTCAGCCTAATTGTCTGGGCTTCAAGGCTGCTCAACCCTCTGCCTCAGGGAAGGAGGGTAAATGGTTAAAGGGCTGTGTGGCCACCATCTAACTGAACTCTTAGGAGTCTTCCTGTCAGCATTCAGCTCTGTGAGATTGGGGTACAGACCTGATGAGGTCATCACTAAAAGTAAACATTGCTTACACAGAAGCACAGAAACAGCTCAACAGTTTAAATAAATCAGTATAGACATGCAGATTCTAGTTTTCAGGGGAAATAATGAATAATCTTGATGTTTGTACAACAACGATCTAAAAATGTATCCAGACCAATAAACTGTAATAAAAATACTGTGTGTGTGTGTGTGGGGGGGGGGGGGGGGGGGGGCTATGATTTATGACAGTTATTTAGAGAAAATGTTCCCACTTGTCCTTTGTGGACTAGAAAAAAATAAAACAAGTAATAGCAACAAATTAAAATGTACTCATTGTTTGACAATCAGAAAACAAAAAGGTCATAGTCCTTGTCACCTCCCAAAATAATTAAAGCTAATTAACTTTGTTGGAATTAACTGATCCAAATACATAAACTCTTTTATCAATTTATTACTTAAAATGAATTCACGAAAAACAGAACACATGCATGAGAGGGTAAAACTGGATTAGTCTTGATATGAAAGGGTTTGAGTTGGTCTATGAATTTGTTTGTCTAAGTGTGTGTGTCCACACACACCTGTCCCACCAGCCAATGCCAGGTTATTGTATCACAGCATGGGAGTGACAGCCATTCTGGTGCCGAGGGGCCATGACCTCCAGGGTTTTCTGAACACCAACGTCTTCACACTTCCTTAAACTGGTGATGTTGTCGATGGAGATGAAAAATTGTTTTATTTGCTTTTTTCTTTGCTCTGCTGTAAGAAAACATAATTTATGTTTAATAAAATAAAGACATCTCAATAGTCAGTGTGAGTACTGAGTATGACAGTGATGAAACAAATAGTTTTGAGGATTTAACTTCAAGGCGTGGCTGACTGAAAACCTGTTTTTAAATTGTTTTTTCACCGTACTTTTTTCATGCAGTCTGAGGATGAAAATAGTCTCCAACACCTATCTCCTGCATTAACTTCTCATAGAAAATAGACGGTAACTCTAGGACTTGAAAATCCTCACAGATCCACATCACACTGAGAATTAACGTTCATGGTCTCACCCATCTTGACTCACAACGGGAAAAGCTGTTGTTGGTTTAATGCCCCGAAATCAGACGGAAACATCTCGTCTAGTTTAAGCTAACCGTTAGAATTAGCAACTTCACTTTAAGGTGGAAGTCCTCCTGGCTTGTGTAATTTGTGGAGAAAAACATCAGCGTTGCAGGTCAGTGGTAGAGTCGCATTGCTGTTATCCAATCTGGGACAAGATGTCCAAATATCAGGAAATCAGACTCCAAATTCTGTTTTCTGAAGCTCAGCCGTGATGTTGCAGACTTGACCTGCTGAGCCAGGGCTTTTTGTGCCCTGAGTTCTGCCTGCAAGGCATTTGGTCCTTCTAGAGATCATTGCAAATGTATTGATTAAGTGAGCAATCAACTACTTTAAAATATTCCAGTAATAAAAGAAATTGAACCTCAGTCAAGAGGGTATAAAATCAGTTAAATAAAAAAGGAAAAGCAACATCACACACCACATTTTGTTGTTATTACTGATAAGTCGCTGATTACCAAGTTAAAGACATTTAAAAGAATGTCTACAAAACAAAAGACATTAATTAATCATGATCACCTTTTTTAGACACCTCATTTCATCATAACAATTGCTGTGTGAATTTCACTTGTTTAATGAATTCTGTATTTTGATTTTACACAAATTGTTCTCTCTTCAAAGTAATTTTCTCAACACAGAAATACTTTTAGTCAGATTTCCTTTGCCCAACAATTTCTGCAAGTTTTAACCATTATCCAGATGTGTCTAATTCCACAAGGCAGCACTAATCAAAACGTTACATTTATAACAAAAACATGATTTACTCTTAGAAACAATGCTTTCTTCATTTTGCTTCATTCAACTACAGTAGTTTCAATGCATTAACCCATTAGAGGGCACTGGTGTCTTCCTGTTAAACACCCTGCCCTTTCAGTGCAACAAATGTTTAAACTATTTCTTAAAGTAATCCATAGCAAAAACACCCAATAACATTTATTTTGTACTCAAAAACTATTTAAAATTTTGAAAATGCACCTGAACTGTGAGACTTTTCCATATATTTCCTTTGTGAAACTTGCTGTGAATATAAAGACATGTACCTTTGAACAGAGTATTCTGTTTGGGGGTAATTGTATTCTATTATTTAACCTTTTTTCAGTCCAACATGAGATTAGGGGGTAAGTATTAGTTAAAGCAGCACTTTCTCAGTCTTGTCCAATGGCCCTTCTTAAATTAGCAGTGGGGGCTGGAGGCTCCCAGTCTGTGCTGGCAGAAGGAGGAGCCAGCATCCGTCAGTGTCTACTGTTTCATTATTACCTGAGTAGCCCTGCAGCATTCACCACACTCGTGTCTCTGTGTGGACTGAAACACAGACACAGAGGACAGACTTAAAGCCCTAACCATCAGGGAGAGATTTCCTTTTCAATGCTTTGTTTTGTTTTTGTTTTGTTTTTCTTCACTCAGGACAGGAATCTGCCTTCAGCTGCTATATTGCCAGACAACTAGCAGTGGACATGGCTGGTTGTCTGCGTAGCTCACAACTTTGTAAAAAGTGGGACTTTTTTAGATGCCTGCTTGTGACTTTTTATCTCATCTCCTGTTTTGGTTCAGTAATTTCACAGTCATTTGGTCCCGGTCACGTTCACTACCAAAGGTCAGGACCTAATGAAGACAACATCCTCATCGCTAACAATGGGATCAGAGTGCCTTTTGGGAGGTCAGTGTTTTTGGACCCTGTGAATGACCTGGTTATTGAAGTTCAGCCTGGAGACCGCTGCCACATAACTGTCCTGGATAACGACCCCTTGGCCCAGAAACCCGGGGTGCTGACCCCCAAAAAGTTTCCTTGTTCATTTGGAGCAAATGAAGTGAAATACACACATTTTGGATCTCGGAGCCCCACTAAGGATCGTGTGAAGTTGCAGCTTCGCTATGACTCCTACACAGACACGGTCATCATCCCCTTCATGTTGGAAGTGGAGGTGGTTTTCCAGCAGCTTGAGATCCTCATTAGGAATATGCCACTTAATGTTGAGAAACTCAACGGAGACAGCAGCCCCGTTGACAAAAAGGCCCTGGAGTTTTCCTTTGAGGATGGTGTCACTCAATGTAAGATCACCTCTCTGGCTGGCGCTGGAGGCCTTCCCAGGTATGGTACTCTAAAAAATAGTCCAGCCAATGGTCAAATGACTGATTGTGATGAGTTTGTAAAATTGGGCGTTCTCTACAAACACACGGCTAAAACCAAGTCACCAAACAGAGATTATATCCCAATGATGGTAGAGCTGCAGGATAATGATGGCAATGCAATAATGCAAGAACATTTCCAGATGATGGTCAGAATCAGAGAAGGTGTAGAAAACACTGCTCCCAAACCTAGCTTTGTAGCCATGATGATGATGGAGGTAGATCAGTTCGTGATGACAGCGATTACAAGTGACATGCTATCGGCTGAAGATGTTGAATCTGATCCAGATGACTTGATCTTCAACATCACTTCACCAATGAACCCTCAGCAGGGTTATATTATCAGCACAGACGATCAGAACCTTCCTATCACTTCTTTCAACCAGAGAGACGTCGAAGCTCTAAAAATAGCCTATAAGCCCCCCTCCGAGGACTCAGAACAAGAAAGGATTTTCCAGCTAGAGTTTGAAATCATTGACACTGACGGAGCAGTGTCAGATCCATTTGCCTTCATGATTGTGGTGAAGCCTATGAACACATTGGCTCCTGTTGCAACAAAGAACACTGGACAGCTGTTGTTTGAAGGTCAATCACGAGTCCTCTCCAGTGCACAAAATCTAGAAATTAGTGATGAGGATAACCTGGAGGATGTGAAAATTACAGTCGTTGATGGTTTAAAACACGGAGACCTGACTGTTTTTGGTTCACGCAGAAAATTCTTCACACCTGCAGATCTAGATGCTGGCACTATTGTGTATCAGCACGACGGCAGTGACACATACAGTGACAATATTATTTTCCAAATGACTGATGGAAATAATGAAGTAGAGTTCCTGTTTCCTATCACTATTGCTCCCACTGATGATGAGCCCCCTATAATAAATGCTAACACTGGCCTTGTATTGTTCAAGAACGAAATCATGCAGATCTCTCCCTTCATCCTGAGTGCTACAGACATTGACTCAGAAGACTCCACAATTAAGTTTATATTGGAGGCACCATTCTCAACCATAGGGGAGCTCCTGCTCAGGCAGGGTGAGCCCCCTGATGATCCTTCCCAGTGGAAGTTCATCGGGACGGATGAGATGTTTGAGCAGGTGGTAACTGAATGGTTTCAGCAGGATATTCTTGATGGAAAGTTGTTCTACCGTCATGTCGGACCCCATAGCACCTCAACTGTGACTGATCAGTTTGTGTTCAGAGTCCAAGATGACAATGACCCTCCCAATCAATCCGGCGAACATAGCTTCACCATTAAAATCCATCCTGTTGACGACATCCCACCAGTGCTTTTCCCAGGCACCACCCTCCAAATGACAGTTAAGGAATATGAACTCACGTTCTTTCGTAAGAAATTCTTATGTTACACTGATCTAGATTCAGATGACAGAGACCTGAAATACACCATCATCAAACCACCAGCAGACACAGACGAGAATAATCCAGCCCCATTGGGTGAAATTGTCCTTACTGATAGTCCTGACACTGTAGTCACAGAGTTCACACAAGCCCAGGTTAACCATCACAAAGTAGCTTACAAGCCCCCAGATGTTGAACTAGGCATCACTGCTAAAATAGCGCAGTTCACATTTACTGTTGAGGACACGGCCAGTAACTCAGTAAATGGACTATTTACAATTTTCCTACAGCCAGTTGACAACAAACCCCCAGAAATTACCAACACTGGGTTCACTGTTATGGAAAAAAGTACTTATGTTATTACCAGAAAGGAGCTGCATGCCACGGATACAGACACAGATGATGAAAGCATAATCTTCACTGTGACCCAGATTCCTAGTTATGGACAGCTGCAGTATTTGGGTGTTTACATGTCAAATGGTGAAACGTTTGTGCTTGAAGACATTGCAAACAATCGCCTAACTTACATCCATGGAGGAGAGGAATCCCTCAACGATATCATTAAACTTTCTGTAAGTGATGGTTTTCATGAGGTACCCATTATCATCAGGATCACAATTGAGCCAGTTGACGATGAGATGCCCACAATTATGCTCCCATCGGGTGTACTGGGAGCCTCCATTGATGTGCTAGAAAATGGAGCAACCGAGATCACAAGTAATGTCATTCAGGGTCGTGATAAAGACACAGATGACCTAATGCTCACTTTTATAGTTGAAGAACCCCCCAGGCTGGGTGAAATCCTGGTTAACGGCATGCCTGCTGAGAGATTCACTCAGGCAGATGTCATCAACGGAATGGTGGTCTACGCTCACACATCTGGTGAAATTGGTCCAGTGAAGGAACACGACTCCTTTAACCTAACTCTCTCTGACATGTCTGATCAGTGGGTTGTTGGTGGAAACAAAGTCCAGGGTGTGATGGTTCAAGTCACAATCCTGCCTGTTGACAGCATTCCACCAGTTGTAAGTGTTGGGGGCCAGTTTGTTGTGGTGGAAGGTGAGAAGAATGTCATTAACTTAGACCACATTCAAGCTGAAGACATTGACACCAACAATGATGACATTCTCTGCACCATCATTGCCCAACCGTCATCTGGATATGTAGAGAACATCTCCCCTGCCACAGGTTCAGAGAAATCAAGAGCTGGGACAGCCATCACTGCCTTTACAATTAAAGATATTGCCCTTGGTCATATCTACTATGTCCAAAGCATTCATAAAGGAGTTGAACCTGTAGAGGACCAGTTCACCTTCCGCTGCTCTGATGGTATTAATTTCTCAGAGCGCCACTTCCTTCCCATAGTCATCATTCCAGCCAATGACGAGAAGCCTGAGATATTTGTCCGCGAGTTTGTGGTAATGGAGGGCATGAATCTTGTAATTGACATACCGATTCTAAATGGCGCTGATGCTGACATTCCTGGGGATGAACTGCACTTTGAAATCATCAAAAAACCCAAACACGGTGCAATAATTCAACAACTCAGCACTGGCACAATCCCTGTTGAGAGGTTCAATTTAGAACAGATCAAAGAAGGAGCCAACATTGTTTACGAACACGACGATTCTGAGACCAAAGAAGACAGCTTTGAGGTCAGGCTTTCTGATGGCAAACACAAGGTAGAAAAATCCATTCTCGTCGTAGTTATACCCGTTGATGACGAGACGCCAAGAATGGCTATCAACGATGGCCTTGATGTTGAGATTGGGGAAACAAAAGTCATAAGTAACAGGGCTTTAATGGCAACAGATCTTGACTCTGAAGACAAAGACCTAACATATATTGTAAGATATGGTCCAGGTCAAGGCTACCTTCAGCGTATCAACAAATTTGGCACAGTTTTAGGCAACATAACCCTAGGAATGAATTTCACCCAGGATGAACTCGACAAGCAACTAATTCAGTATGTGCACATGGGTCAAGAGGGCATTCGAGACCTGTTGAAGTTTGATGTCACCGATGGTATCAATCCACTAATTGACCGTTATTTTTACATCAACATTGGAAGCATTGACATGGTTTTCCCCGATGTTATCAACAAAGGTGTGACGCTCAAAGAAGGTGGAAAAGTAACTCTTACCACTGACCTCCTTAGCACCTCTGACATTAACAGCCCTGATGAGTTTCTTAGCTTTAGCATTACAAGAGCACCTAGCAGGGGGCATTTAGAGTGTACGGACCAACCAGGTGTTCCAATCTCCACCTTCACCCAGCTACAACTTGCTGGAAACAAGATCTACTACATCCATACCTCGGACGACGAGGTGAAGATGGACAGCTTTGAGTTTGAGGTGACTGATGGTTACAACCCTATCTTCCGAACCTTCAGAGTGTCCATCACTGATGTAGATAACAAGAAACCAGTTTTAACTGTACACAAGCTGATTGTTGAGGAGGGAGAAACCAAGCTCATTACGCCATTTGAGTTGACGGTTGAGGATCGAGACACCCTCGATAAGTTGCTGCGCTTCACTGTCACGCAGGTGCCAGTGCACGGTCAGCTGCTTTTCAACAACACCCAACCAATCACAACCTTCACCAAACAGGATCTGAATGAGAACCTTATCAGCTATAGGCACGATGGCACAGAGACCAGCGATGACAGCTTTTCTTTCATTATCACAGACGGGACACATACAGACTTTTACATTTTTCCCAATACTGTGTACGAGACTCGTAAACCTCAAACTATGACAATTCACATCAGTACGGTGGACAATGGTGTGCCCCAGATCGTGGTTAACAAAGCTGCTGCCTCACTGAGAGTCCTCCAAACGGGACACCTGGGCTTTGTCTTCACAAGCAAGGTCCTTCGATCAGAGGACAGAGACAGTCCCCAGAGAGTCCTGAGGTACATGGTGTGTGAGCCACCTCTGCATGGCTTTATCATCAACACGGCACTGGGCAACGATAGCATCAACACCTTCACTCAAGGTGAGCAAGGCCTGCACCATCAAACCCTCGATCATATTTTTGTTTTTGTAGAAAAAGATTCTAGAAACAAATTGTGACATTTCTAGATGGATATAATAGCTCTGTTGGGATTTTGCTGGAACTGGATTAAAATTAAAGCAAAGTGAATTGTAAAGTTTTGACAGAGAACTGGTCCCTACTCCCAAAAAAAACCTCAATGCTTTTTCCTTATTCACTGGATATGTAAACAACTAAATCAGCAGAAATCAAACAACAATATTCAATTTAATTGGGCAGAATTATGTTCCCAAATCCTAAACTAATACAGACATCAGTAAATCTTTAATCGTTCCTTGGTGCATTATTAAACTAATAAAGTATTAACTCTTAACTATATTATGTAATGCATTACTAAGCAGATGCACACAAACGGCCCTTTGTTCAAACCTTGAGGGCATTTAATAATTAACTATATCAAAAATGTTAATAAAGGAACTTTTTTGTTTATTAATGTTTAATAATGCACTGAGTATTGTTAATAAAGGGACAGTTATTTTAAAGTGTTACCTATACATCTGTGTCCAGATAGAGCTACAAAAACTTTCCTTAATTCACTAATTATAAGTAAAACCTCTTCCAGATGGATGTGTCATCATATTTCTGTCATCACTGTAGTAAATCCTTATTTTCTGTTCTTTTGTGACAATGCCAGCTGAAATCAACGACATGAAGATTTGTTATGTCCTGTTGGACAAGAACAACGCCACAAGTGACATCTTCTACTTCACAGTTGAAGATAACGGTAAGAATTCAGAGCTATTTAATGTGTGTTCCACACACTTTCTGATGTCCTGCCCTCTGCCAATCACACAAGTGTTTGCATCACAAAGACTTAGGGCAGCTGGCCATGACCTACACCCAGAGTGGCGTCTCTGTGTGAGCCAAAGGGCAAAAGGTTTAAAGGACCGGGGTCAGAGGACACTAAAGGCAAACTCTCACTCTGGGTTTGTAAAAGTGGAGGACTAGCTCGTGCTTTAAACTTTATTGTTTGTGAACAAAAGAATCATTTCCCTCCTGAAAGTTTTAAAAAAATCACCTTCCATTGTCAGAATGGAGTGTGGCTGTGTGGAGTGGATTTGTTGAACACGATTTATGCTACCTGTGTTTTACCCTTCATGATCTCTGCAAATGTTAACATTAAGTCACATAAGCTGAAAATTATTTAAAAATTGATGTTGGATTTTAAAGTCGGGTTCTGTGGAAAGTTTTCAACTGTTCATGACCAACCGGTCAATCAAAAGAAAACCCAATTTGAAAAAGTTAAGATTATATCCTGACCTGAGTGACAAGCTAACAGCTAGTCTGAAAGAGATCAAATTCCTGCTGTTTTACAACAACTTTATTACACAAAAATGTACCCAGTTCCCACAATCTCTGTGTTATAAATCTTTGTCATCAATTTTACAATTATTGCTCAAATGTTATAAAATTCCTGCCAGATGTGGCCCAGCCTGCATCAAAAGAGTCCAAGATGTCACTGTTTAAAACTGACAAATAGCCATCGAATTCTACGTAAATAACTATGAAAAAATAAATGTATGGTTATAAAATAGCATTTGCATGAACCACTCTAAATTTAGTGATTGACCGGTGAATGTCTTTGTTTTAAAATCGGCCTTGCTCATCCTTACCCATAGCGCATGTCAGACTCGAAGACTGGGTTCGGGAGTAAGAGCTTTTATTGTACAGACGGTGGGCTGAAAGCGGTGCTGGAAAGGCTGACGGATGAGGTCTGAGGAGGAAAGGTGGAGGTTTAGCTGTAGTAGCTTTGGAAATACTCTGATCATGGATCACGGTGGAACGTGGAGGGAATCCCCACGAGGGGGATGCTGGGTAATGTGGTCCAAGACGGAAGCCGGTCAGCTGGGAGAGCCCGGCCTGGGGGCTTGGACTCTGACAGGACCCCCCGGTCCAGGGACGGCTCCAGAAGTCCCCGGGCCACCTCGGTGGGCCCAGAAGTCCGAGATGAGGGCAGGGTCCAAGATGGAGCGGGCCGGCTCCCAGGAGCGTTCCTCGGGGCCGTAGTCCGCCCAATCTACGAGGTACTGCCAGCCCCGACCCCGGCGGCGAGCGTCCAGAATGCGCCGGACTGTGTAGATGGGCTCACCGTCGAGGAAGCGGGCCGGCGGAGGTGCTGGAGCCTGAGGTGGCAGGAGGGGGGATTCCAAGTAAGGCTTGAGCCGGGAGGTGTGGAAGGTAGGATGGACGCGAAGGCTTGTAGGCAGCCGCAGCCGGTACGTGACCGGGTTGATGACCTCCTGCACGGGGTAGGGCCCGAGGAACCGGGGAGCGAGCTTCCTGGAACCGGCGCGGACCCGGAGGCCTGCCGTGGACACCCAGACCTTGTCCCCTGGAGCATAGGAGGGACCCGGGCGGTGCCTGCGGAGGTGTTGGTGTGAGTAACGGGCGATGGCCCGGGTAATGGAGGCCCGCGCCTTGATCCATGCATTCTTGCAGCGCCTCACCAGGGATTGAGCGGCTGGCACCGCGACTTCGGGTTCCTGGTGGGCGAAGACTGGGGGCTGGTAGCCATAGCAGACCTCGAAAGGGGACATCTGAGTGGCCGAGGAGGTGTGGAGAGTATGAGACAGCTCCGCCCAGAGGAGGTACTTAGGCCACTGCGAGGGCTGGGCCGAGACAAAGCAGCGGAGGTACCGGCCCAACTGTTGGTTCGCCCGCTCCGATTGACCGTTGGTTTGTGGGTGGTAGCCCGAAGACAGGCTGACAGAAGCTCCCACTAGATGACAGAAGGCTTTCCAGAAACGGGCCGTGAACTGGGGACCACGATCTGAGACCACGTCGACCGGGAACCCGTGGAGACGCACCACATTCTCCAGAAACAGTTCTGCAGTGCGTCGGGCCGAGGGAAGGCCCGGGAGGGCGATGAAGTGAACAGCTTTGGAAAACCGGTCAGTGACCGTTAGGATGGTGTCGAGGTCGTTGACCGGCGGGAGACCTGTGACAAAGTCCAGCCCCACATGGGACCAGGGGCGGCTGGGCACCGGAAGAGGTCTGAGGGTGCCAACCGGAGCCTGGGTGGATGCCTTAGAGCGGGCGCAGACGTCACAGGCGCTCGTGAATTCCTTAACGTCCCTCTCCATACATGGCCACCAGAGAGCCCGTTTCAAGAACTTGAGAGTCCGAGAGAAGCCCGCATGACCAGACAGGCGTGATGAGTGGGCCCAGGCCAACGCCTCACTGTGACAGGCCGCGGGGACGTATAGCCGACTGGCGGGGGTCTCTGGCGGCGCTGGGTCATCCCGTAGGGCGTCTTGGATGGCCTCCTCCAACGGCCACCCAAGGTAGGCCACGAAACGGTGCTCCGGGAGGATGGGCGCCGGCTTGGACGTGGGCGCTGAATGTGTGACCTGGCGGGAGAGGGCGTCCGCCTTCTGGTTTTTAGTCCCGGGGCGATAGGCGAGATGGAACTCGTAGGGTTCGAAGAAGAGGGCCCAGCGAGCCTGGCGAGGATTTAGCTGCTTGGCGGACCGGATGTGGGTTAGGTTCTGGTGGTCAGTCCAGATGGTGAACGGCTGAGTGGTGCCCAGAAGCCACTGCCTCCATTCCTCCAACGCCCATTTTATGGCCAGCAGCTCGCGATCCCCTACGCCGTACTTCTGCTGGGTGGTGGAAAACTTCCTGGAGAAGTAGGCGCAGGGATGTAGCCTGTCATCTGGGCCGCCTTGGGACAGGATGGCACCGGCGCCGACATCCGAAGCGTCGACCTCGACCACAAAAGGGACTGCCTGATCCGGATGGCGCAGGATAGGAGCCGATGTGAAACGAGCGACTAAGTCTTTGATAAATCGACGGTAAAAGTTGCAGAAACCCAGAAAACTCTGCAGTTGCTTCAGGCTGGTTGGTAGGGGCCAGTCCTTCACCGCCTGGACTTCCTGAGGGGCCATAGTTAGACCTTGATCCGAAATCAGGTAGCCCAGGAATGAAACGGACCGCTGGTGGAAGGAGCACTTCTCGGGCTTACAGAACAGGTTGTTGTCCAGGAGCCGGGTCAGGACAGCGCGAACATGGTGGTGGTGTTCGGCTTCTGACTTGGAGTAGATCAGAATGTCATCCAGGTAGGCAAACACCCACCGTCCCATCATGTCACGGAGGACATCATTGATGAAGCGTTGGAAAACGGCGGGGCTATTGCACAGTCCGAAGGGCATGACCTGGTACTCCCAGTGACCGGTGGGGGTGATGAACGCCGTCTTCCACTCATCTCCAGCTTTGATACGGACCAGGTTGTAGGCGCTCCGGAGGTCCAGCTTGGTGAAAATCCGCGCCTGGGAGATGGCATCCAGGGCGGACGTGAGGAGCGGCAGAGGATGACGATCTCTGACTGTGATCTTGTTCAGTCCTCTGTAATCTATACAGGGGCGGAGATCACCCTCCTTTTTCCTGACAAAGAAGAAGCCTGCGGCACCTGGGGACGACGAGGGTCGGATGAAACCCTGCCGGAGGGCCTGGTCAATATATTCCTCCATGGCTCTGGACTCGGCGGGAGAGAAAGAAAAAAGGCGCCCCCGGGGTGGACTGGTTCCTGGTTGCAGCTTGATTTCCATGTCGTACGGGCGGTGAGGCGGCAGTGTGGTGGCGCGCCGCTTGTCGAACACCGCAGCCAGGTCCCGGTAGGGCAGTGGCAGATTGGGCGGTGTTGGGCCAGGGTCACCGGCCGGGCAGTCTGGTATGGATGGAGGAGGAGAGAGGTGGGCCTGGCACTGGGCCCCCCATTCCAAAAGGCGGCCCTGGGACCAGGAAATCCGGGGGTCATGGAGACGGAGCCAGGGAAATCCCAGGATTAGAGGAGAGGAGGGAGCACATATGATCAGGAACTGGAGGGTCTCTCTGTGGCCTTGGACAATCATCTGGAGTGGCTGGGTTCGGTTTTGGACCGGATAGGGTTGGAGGGGCCTACCGTCCACCGAGGTCACTGGCACAACTCTCTCCAAGGGGGTCATGGGGATCCGTAGGCGCTTAGCCAGATCCATGTCCATAAAATTGTCAGCGGCCCCCGAGTCCACCAGCGCGTGCATCTGGAGTGAGGCCTCACCATGAAGGAGGGTAACATAAAGAAGGAGTCGATTTGAAGAGGCGGGGGCTGAAGGTGACCCAGGCTGAGCGACCCCGATACTCAGTGGGTTCCTTCGTTTCCCAAACGTAATGGACAGTTCAGGCGTCTGTGGTGGGAGGAGCCACAATAGGCACAGAGACCCTCGCGCCACCGTCGCTGTCTCTCCTCTGGAGGAAGGTGGCCTAATTGCATGGGCTCATCAGTAGAAGCGGGTCCGGGAGCAGGCGTGGGGGAACGAGGAAGAGGTCCAGGCGCCCTGGATGGGCGAGTGAAGGGCTTGGGCCGAACCAGAACCCGCTGATCCATGCGCAACGCCAGATTAGGGATGGGTAACTTTGACATTTGAATCGATCCGGTACTAATTCCCGGTACCTACGAATCGATACCGGTACTTAACGGTACCAATTTTCGATACTTTCGAGTGTTTATTATTTTAATTCTCTTTTATAATTAAATATATATTTTTCTCAATTTATAACCATATTTGATAAATATCACAATAAATAACATACAACTGTTTGTATTTTAACATTGTCCTTGTAGTTTTATAAGCTGATAATTAAACTGAAGCAAACATCTTTGCTGTGAACTAAATTTACTGTGTATCTTCATTCCTTTTGCCATCTTTTTTCATTTGATTTTTACTACTGGGAAGTTAGAATTTCTGA